ACGGCCACAGAAAATGGGGGGCAGCCGCATGGATCATGGACGTACGAGCGACGTCCATGACCATGCCAATGCGGCGCTCAGCAATCCCATTTTGCTGTGGAGAGGCCGGAAGCGTGAAGGTCTGACAGATGCCCTGTGCACGACAGAAGGCTCCCAGACGGGCAGCGGAAAACTCTCCGCCTTTGTCCGAGTGCAGACGGAGAACAGGAAAGTCCGAGCCGAAACTCTCTCTAAGCTGGAGACGAGCTGCGCGGATCCAGTCGATCAAAACCTCAGTGACGTCACCCTTGCTGACAAGGGGAAGACTATGGTGTAACGCGAGTAGTCGTCAACCACCAACAGGAAGTAACGCTCGTGCCCCTGTCCGCGGACGCGGTCGGGGCCCCACACATCCATGTGAAGAGTCTGCAGCGGAGCCTCTGTCGGAGGAAACTCGGAGGAGTGAGGGGCGGCGCGCTGTCGCCCCTTGACACAAGGGACGCAGGTAGGGGCAGGCCCCGAAGGTAGGGGAGGGAGAGACCGGGGGAGACCAGAGACAAGGACACGGGAGGCCATGCCTCGGAGACAAGGAAGGGAGGGGTGACCAAGGCGGTGGTGCCAAAGGAGAGTCCTGTGGGACAGGAGACGATTCGAACAGGGAGCAAACTCAGGACCAGATCTGGATGCTGCAGCATATACCTGACTCGACGCAGCTACCTTACCAGACTCAGCAACCAGAGGAGACTCAGTAGTCAGTGTGTACAGGCTCGACCCAGGCCGACGGGTGAACGGGGCCAAGTGTCGGCCTCTCCGAGCACAGGTGCAGTGGGTCACCCGCTGACTCGCAGGAGTGAACTGGTCAACCCCCCTATCCTCTAGATCAGCTCCACTCACCAAGTTCGTAGAGAACGAGGGGAAATAGAGACCTGACAGGGTGCCAGAGGGGGCTGCCGGGCACGGAAGACAGTGGAGAAGCTAGCAAGGACAGGACCCCCAGAGGGTTCCGCCAGGGAGACTTCAACCGGCCGACTAAGCCGCGTAAGCGTGGTGCGGTCTCGAAAGAAGGAGCAGGAAGCACCCGAGTCAAGGGTGAAGGTGTGTAAGGCCTGAGCCGACGTAGTACCAGAAAGAGCAGACTCACAAGCACCTGGGGCAGCAGACGCACTAGCACCTAGAGCAGCAACCTTACCAGCACCTAGAGCAGCAGCCTCAATGCCCGGGTCAGGCGGAACACACAGGTAACAGTCATCCTCATCACTAGTAGACACAACATACATGGCAGCAAGAATAGCATCATAATCCAGATCAAAGATAGCAACCCCCGCCCTAGACAGAACGTCCCAGCGAGGGATCTCAGAGGCCTCAGGGAACTGGTGATGCCACGCGTCCGTCAGGCGGCCGAAGCAGCGCTGGGTGGAGTGCAGACCCCCGCACTGCTCACCAGCGCGGTCGCCGGTACGGAGGACGTAGGTGCAGAGACCAGTACCCCCACCGCGCTGACGCGCAGCGTACCACTCACGGAGTTGCTGAGAGGACAGGGTCTCAAGACTGCGCTGCTGCTGCTGGCGCGGACCACCACCGGAGCCACTCCTCTGTGCAGAGCCGCGACCAGCTCCACCGCCGCCGCCGCCGCCTCCGCCACCTCCGCCGCCTCCGCTCCCTCCGCCACCACCGCCGCCTCCTCCACCTCCACTGCTGCCACTGACACCTCCATCCCCGCCACCACTCCCACCACCACCTCCACCCCCTCCACTGCCTCCACCACCACCTACACCGCCTCCACCACCACCTACACCGCCCCCCCCAAGCCCTCCAGCGCCCTTGCCCCCCTTGCCCTTGCCGGTGCGGCGTCTCCCGCTAGGGGCAGACGCAGCGCCGACCGACTCGAAACCAACGAGGTCGGCCGCAGCAGCAGAAGCAACAGAGGGCAAGAGGGGGGAGGGGGAACACCCCTCAAAGTCGGGGGTGCGAGGGTCACCACGAGAGGCTCCTACAGCGACTATGCTCTTCTTTGCTGCTAGGAGGCGCTCCTCGAGGAGGTCAACGGTGAGTGTGGTGGGGCAAACTGAGAGGAAGTGGTCCCTGACTAAGCGAAGGGAGTCAGGGAGCCTGGTGACTATGTAGTAGAGAGTGATGTACATGGGGGGGGGGGGTTCTTGGCACTGAACTCAGCAAGAAGCGCAGCGCGGTAGCGAGTGTCATTAGTGCGAAGGTTCGTAATGAGGTCACCGACTATGGGAAAGGCAGCAAGGCCAGGTAAGAGGTACGGTAGCATGAGGCGGCTAAGAGCAGCAGTGGTCAACAGCACGACCCTCAGCATCAAAGGTAAGGACACTGGGGGTAGCCATGACCTGCAGTAGCCTAGCAGGGAGTGATCTCACCAGTCCGAGTAAGTAGGGTCGGGGCGCGCCGGTAGGGGCAATAGGGGCTCGACGGCAGGGCGGCTCGGCGGCTCGGCTGCTGGGCGGCTCGGCGGGTCGGTTGCTGGGCGGCTCGGCTGCTCGGCGGCTCGGGTGCTTGGCGGCTTGGCTATCGGGCGGCTCGGCTGCTGGGGGGCTGGGCGGCTCGGCTGCTCGGCGGCTCGGGTGCTGGGCGACTCAGCTGCTGAGCGGCTCGGCGGCTGAAGGGGCCGCTAGTGGCGGCGACGAGGCTGCGTAGGGAGGGGAGCGGCGATGGGACCGCTAGGGGCGGCGAGCGGGGTGCCGCGTAGGTAGGGAGGCGGCGACGGGGCCGCTGAGGGCGGCGATAGGGCCGCGTAGGTGGGGAGGCGGCGACGGGGCCGCTAGGGGCGGCGACGGGGCCGCGTAGGGGCGGCGACGGGGCCTCTAGGGGCTGGCGTTGGGGCCGCGTAGGTAGGGAGGCGACGACGGGGCCGGTAGGGGCGGCGACGGGGGTGCTAGAGGCGGCGACGGGGCCGCGTAGGGGCGGCGACGGGGCCGCGTAGGGGCGGCGACGGGGCCGTGTAGGTAGGGAGGCGGCGGCGGGGCCGCTAGGGGCGGCGACGGGGCCGGGTAGGGGCTGCGACAGGGCCGCTTAGGGGCGGCGACGGGGCTGCGTAGGTGGAGAGGCAGCGACGGGGCCGCTAGGGGCGGCAACGGGGCCGCGTAGGGGCGGCGACGGGGCCGCTAGGGGCGGCTACGGGGCCGCGTAGGGGCGGCGACGGGGCCGCTAGGGGCCGCGAGGGGCAGCACGGGGGGCCGTGGGAGGGGCCTCTAAGGGACCTTGACGGAAGGGCGGCCCACAAGGCGCGCCTCGGGCAGAAGCGACTAGCGCTCCGGTCAGAAAAAAGTTTCAGTGGTGGGCCCAAGGAAGCGTTCCCACTAGGGAACCTACTCTATACCATGTGAAAGAATGAGGAATGAATGAACTAGCAAGCAGGAGGGTACAAGTAGGAAAACCTAGAAATGTTGTACCCCATATAGTCTACCCCACTACAGCCTACACAGACTAAAGCATATAAGTTTGACAGCTCGTATTCTATATCACTAATCTCACCACTAGAATGACGAGCCACGAGATCCTCCTCTAGTGCGCGCAGACTACCGTCCTCCACGTTCGCCTCCTCCGTGCTCATCCTCTATGACGTCTCTAAAAGGTGCCACAAAATAAAATAAATTGTCTCTTCCTTAAATCCCTCATCTTGGGGTCACCTCACAAGGGTCCTCAGACGAGTGTAATATAATAACAAACGCCCTAACCTTGGGTCTGAGAACGTAACTGGAGGGAAATTAAGAGAGGTTCAACGTTGATCAAAAAGCACCCTTCACCAACGCCAGAATCGCCAAGGCGAGTATACTAACGAACGGTGATGAAAATCTATGCGTGTTTGTTCCACGCTCACCACACCATTAAGGAATTTATTAAAGAGCGTAGCGATAGCGAGAGAGTTTCTACTATGTGAACGGTGTTGCGCCAACAACTCGGTAGAGTTCAATAGCGTTGTCTCAAGTGACTAAGGAAGAAACCAAGTAGCAATTGGACTTGACTAAAAGTTATATTATCTAAAACACACAAGCAAGCACAAACATATATAGGTAGGCGAGGGGTTTCACAATGTTGCGTGGGGCTGCAAGTAACCCCACCCTCATGGAAGGTTTGTGAGGGTGGGCGAACGTGCCCCACCAAACTTCCATCCAACTCAGCAACGAAGGCACTTCCGTGCACGCCACTCCACCCAACTCAGCTTGGGAATGGCGTGCCTCATAAGGAAGCACACCAAGACGAATCTTCTTCCCAGCACCGATTCCGGCGTTATCACCCGTTGTCACTCGTAGTCGCTCGTGACCGCCACTGAAATCAGCATCGGTGCCGAATAGTCTCGGTCCCTAGCCACCGACCTGCCAAGTCAATATTCGTCGAGGGCCCTTGCTATCGTAGGGCCCTCTTACAAAGGAACTATGGTCCCAGTAACCATCTAGCTTGGTAACAACCTAGACTGGTTACCGAGCTGATAACCACCTAGTTGGTGGCGTGTAACTCTAAGCAGCCCACGCGGTGCATTTGCAGGGCTTGAGGTTGTCGTCATCGCCCTTGCAGTCTTGGGCAGGATGACATCATCCACACCATGCACGTGCACCATTCGCAACGATATGACGTCGGGAGCCACCATGGAAGCTTCGACTGCACCGCTTGCAGCCTTGAGCTCAACTGGCTTGACACCAACAGCTGAGGCCTTCACAAGATACGCCTTGCACGAATCACCCGCAAACAGGAACTGTAGGGAGGAACAAGGGAGGGTGGGGGTAATTTGAATATATATGGGTACACGTTCTTGACTAACAGATGACACGTTCGCCACGCGCGACTTGTACGGCTGCTGCACTTGACAGGAGAGTGAGATTATGATCAATGGTAGGAATGGGCGGGATCGTGTGATGGGGAGGACTTGATCAGATGACGGGGTCGAAATAAAAGGTAGTGCATCGGATAAGTGCATTCCAAAGTATCAAAGGCGTGCCTGCATACTATGTACAATAAAAGTGGTGTGTACTTACTAAGTCGCGACTTCACTCCTGTGGAGTATGTATGAACATAGGCTGATACATAGCAACTACTACTCACCGCAGCGTGCAGTAGTTTCAATGTACCAACCCTGCTGAAACTCCGCGGGGGTCGAAAGTCCCCGCACAGTGATTACTGTGTCGCAACTCGATCCTTCGACATCAGCTGGCACTGCAGTCCGGAGAATGTCGGTAGTGCCAATCTCGAAGCAGATACTTAGAACATACAGTGAAGCTACACCCAACGTGTCAGAATCCCAACCACTAGACCATTGGGATAAAGGGGCTTGTTTGTGTAGCGGGTAAGTGCGCCCATAACCCCCCAGGCCAACGTGCCTGTAACCCTTCCATAGGATCAATCGGGGATCACCAGTGGACCTCTGACACCCCCCCGCACTGGGATGCCCGAAGTGCACACACCGGGATTCGAACCCGAGATCTTCGCTCTGATACCATGTCAGAATCCCAACCACTAGACCATTGGGATAAAAGGGCTTGTTTGTGTAGCGGGTAAGTGCGCCCATAACCCCCCAGGCCAACGTGCATGTAACCCTTTCCTAGGATCAATCGGGGATCACCAGTGGACCTCTGATACAACGTAATTACAAGGTAACAAATGTAACAATACAGCATAACAAGCCTACATATCCAAAATATCTGGTTAAAATCTTCTTGTTTGCATGGTGATTCAAGAATAGCGGATTTATAAAATTAGGCCACAAAATAGAGAAGCATCCTTATACAAAAGCACGCACAAGATCACACACAGTCCTCTTTTGCCTAAACTGTTTCTTGCCTAGCTAGGACTTTCCTAGCTATGGCGCCTTCTTCTACTGCTTATCTTCACATGCTATCAGAGCTACCAAGGTCCTGACCTGTGGGCCCACCCTACAGCTTCCGCTGCTAATCTGTGTTCGGCATGCCCCGTGACGTGCCCCTTGCCCTACTTTTCGCGGTCCCGTCGCCGCCCTTTCAGCGGCCCCGTCGCCTACCTGCGGCCCTACGGCCCCGTCGCCTACCTGCGGCCCTACGGCCCCGTCGCCTACCTGCGGCCCTACGGCCCCGTCGCCTACCTGCGGCTCTACGGCCGCGTCGCCTACCTGCGGCCCTACGGCCCCGTCGCCTACCTGCGGCCCTACGGCCCCGTCGCCTACCTGCGGCCCTACGGCCCCGTCGCTTACCTGCGGCCCCGGCCCCGTCGCCTTCCTGCGGCCCCGGCCTCGTCGCCTACCTGCGGCCTCGGCCCCGTCCCCTACCTGCGGCCCTACGGCCCCGTCGCCTAACTGCCGCCCGGGCCCTGTCGCCTTCCTTCGGCCCCGGCCCCGTCGCCTAACTGCGGCCCCGGCCCCGTCGCCTTCCTGCGGCCCCGGCCCCGTCGCCTACCTGCGGCCCTACGGCCCCGTCGCCTACCTGCGGCCCTACGGCCCCGTCGCCTACCTGCAGCCCCGGCCCCGTCGCCTTCCTGCGGCCCCGGCCCCGTCGCCTACCTGCGGCCCTACGGCCCCGTCGCGTAAGTGCGGCCCGGGCCCCGTCGCCTTCCTTCGGCCCCGGCCCCGTCGCCTACCTGCGGCCCCGGCCCTGTTGCCTACCTGCGGCCCCGTCCCCTACCTGCGGCCCCGTCGCCTCACTACGGCCCCGGCCCAGTCGCCCACCTTGCGGCCCCGGCCTCGTCACCTAACTGCGGCCCCGGCCCCGTCGCCTCCTTGCGGCCCCAGCCCCGTCGTCACCTGCGGCCCCGTCGCCACCTGCGGCCCCGTCGCCCACTTCGGCCCCGATGCCACCTGCGGCCCCGCCCACTTGCGGCCCCGACCCCGCCCCGGCCATGCCCCGTCGCCAGCCGCGGCACACCGGGGGCACGTGCACCGCCCCACCCCCTTTTCCCGTCACCCGTCGCGGCTCCTTCGGGGGACCTGGAAGGGGGGGGGCAGGCGTCGCCCCCTCTGCTGCCTGCTTTGGCGCCCGGGGAGGCCGTGCGTCGCCCCCCCCCCCCCCCTCTCCTCCTCCTTTTGTTCCAGCTGCTGCAGCTGCCGCTGGGGGGGAGGGTGTGAGGGTGTGGGGGAGGCCGGGGAGTGGCACTGGGGTGGCGGGTGTGAAACCACCCAGCAGCCGTCCCTCCACCTCTCCTCTCTTCCCCCCCTCTGCTGCTCATGCAGCAGTGTGTGGGGGAGGGGGAAGGGGAGGGGGAGGGGGAGGGTGAGGGGATGGAGTGGGAGACCAGCCAGCGCCAGCCCGCCTCCTCCTTTCGTTCCCACTACTGCAGCTGCCGCTGGGGGGAGGGTGGGAGGGTGTGAGGGTGTGGGGGAGCCAGAGGAGTGGTATTATTGAAACACTTTTCTCCTCCTGCGCAATCGTGATGTACCCCTTCAGAGGGCGCTAACTGCATACTCATCTCCTACAGCCAGTTATGGGGGCGTGTCGGAAAATATAATTTAATATTTTCTATATGTAACTGCCTGTAGGATTGGTTACTGTAGTTATAGCGTTTTCCTATTTGGTGGTGGACCTTTCTTGCTTGTTCTCTCATATTTGTACTCTTGAACCTATAGTGAAACCCCCTTTTCTCTCGACACTTCTCCTCCAACTCGAACTCAACTTCCTACCTCACTAGCTATGGCTCCTAAGCCTCGCTAAGAAATTTGACATCCTCCTCCTCCTCCTCCTCCTCCTCCTCCTCCTCCTCCTCCTCCTCCTCCTCCTCCTCCTCCTCCTCCTCCTCCTCCTCCTCCCCCTCCTCCTCCTCCTCGTCCTCAGCGCCCGCTGGGGTACTCAGCCTGCACCACAAAAACAGCAACTCATGCCAGCATGTCAAGGTAAGAGATGGTTCAGAGCACAACCACCACAATTGGCAGGGAGGCACTTCGAGTGCTCCCTCCGCGCCTTGCACACTGCAGCATCGTGCCCCTTGGACCGAAGCAAGCGCATGACTGCTCGCCTCATATTACCATTGCCGCCGCTGCCGCTGCTGGCGGCGGTATTGCTGCTGCCGCTGGTGCTGCTAGTGCTGCTAGCGCTGGCAGCATTTGAGGAAGAGGATTCCTTCTTGGCAGTTTTCAGGTCGGTGATGACGTCAGCGAACAGCTGGTACTCGTCCGCAGAGGTGGGCGCAAAGCAGAAAGGGCGAAACGAAAAGGATGGGGGCGGATGAGTTGCATTTCACAATTGATAGGGGGGAAAACGGCAGCTACATCAAATCAACCTCAGTGGCCATCCCCATCCCCATTCCGACTTCCCCTCTTCTCACTGTCCCCTTTCCCCCTCACCTCAATGAGGCTCGAGACGTCCTCCGTTCCCCGACGCCCACCGCTCTCCCCCATCCGCGGAGCTTGCGCGTCCTGCTCCGCCATGCGCGCGTAGAACGAATCTGCGCCATCCACGTTATAGCCACCTTCGCTGCCGTGAATCGCGTCGAGCAGGTGGTGGTCGAGAGTGCGGCTCTTTGCCGAACCGGTTTCCATGAAATCGAAAACCATCTCTGTCAAACATACGGACGACGGATCGTGTGCGCTGCAGGAACTGGGGAAGGGAATGAGCGGGGAAGGGGGAGTGGTGGCAAAGGGGAGAGAGGCGCACGGGGGACGCGGAGAACAGGAAAGTCAGCGAGGTAAGAGAAAAACTAGGATGTTAATGACTGCCGGAGGGGAAGGAGGGGGAAGAGGGGAGGAGCGCAGTGATAATGGAAAGGGTAGGAGATCGAGCGAAGTTCGGAGGCGCAAACCAAACACCATCAAAGCACGCCTGTTGCTGTCGTAGCTACTGCCACTCTTGGTGCCTTGACTTGCGCCGGTCTTCCCATGTCTGCCCGTCGGCCATGCCCCGTGGATTAAATGCACCCCTTGGCTGCTGCCGCTGTTCGCCGCAGTCGCCGCCGCAGTTGCCGCTGCTGCACCCTCCCCTGCCTTTGCCGCTGCAGACTTTTCCGCTGCCGGCCCTACCACTGCTGTAAATTGTGTTGCGAGAAGGTTCCCACTGGTACCTCTAGAACGGTAAGGAAAGCATACCGTGGTCGATTACCGTGGTAGATTGGGTGGCGGAAAGGGATAAGGGATAGTAAAGGGGAAGGGAACATTAAAAAAGATGCGGAAAGGGATAAAGATAGAAGGGGAAGGGGAGCGATCGAACAGCGATGCGCAAAGAGAGAGGTAGGGGGAAGGGAAGTGATTGAACCGCGATGCGCAAATAGAGAGGTTGGAGGAAGGGGTTGCACTGCCACGAGTGAAGATCCGCACACTGGCTGGTGCTCCCTGGGGGGAGGCGGAGCGGATGGCGGGAGGGGAGGCACAAAGAAGCATGTGTGACGATAAATATGTTAAGAAAAAGAACCCTACGAAGAAATTGGACCACCTGGCAAATGCAGTAGCAGCGGGGGAGGAGGAAGGGGTGGCACTTTCACGAGTGAAGATACGCACACTGGCTGGGGCTCCCTGTCGGCTTGGAGGAGGGGATGGGGGTAAGGGAAACAAAGAATGACAGCCATCGACAAATGAGAGGCTAAGAGCCAAGGGGGATAAGCTAACAGGTATGAATATCTACGACGAAGTGAACATGGGGTTCAATTGTGACGCGGAATGTGGTCGCTGCTGCCACACTGCAGAAGGCCGCCGCCGAGCATCACTATCACCACATCACCCGTAACAGTCGTTGTGTGAAGCGATTTCCCGCATCTAGTTCTGCCAAGTTGTAAAGGTAGAGGAGGATCATGTAGGATGCGAAAAGGGAGAAGGATAAAAGGGGAAGGGAAGAGTTCTAATGGGACGGGCAAATAGAGATGGTAAGTGGAAGGGAAGTGCTTGAAATGGATGTGAAAAGGGAGAAGCGAGGGTAATGAAAGCATACGGAAGTCGCGGCCGTTGCTACGAGTCGTGCCATGAGTCCAGCCCCTGCGAGGGCTCGCATCGTTGTCGTCGCTCGCCATGTGCGTAGTGCGGGGGGGGGGTGTCAGAGGTCCACTGGTGATCCCCGATTGATCCTACGGTAAGGGTTACAGGCACGTTGGCCTGGGGGGTTATGGGCGCACTGACCCGCTACATAACAAGCCCTTTTATCACAATGGTCTAGTGGTTGGGATTCATACATGGTATCAGAGCGAAGGTCTCGGGTTCGAATCCCGGTGTATGCATTTCGGGCATCCCAGTGCGGGGGGGTGTCAGAGGTCCCCCTAGCGGGGGCCGCTAGGGGAAGGGGCCGCTAGGGCGTAGGGGGCCGCTAGGGCGGCTCGGCGAGGTGAGAGCCCGGAGCGCGACTCGGGCGGAGCGCGCTTCGGGCAGGAGAGAAAAAAAAATTTGAAACTCGATGTGGTGGGCCCTAGGCACAGTTCCCAAGGGGGGACCTGCTCGATACCATGAGAAAAGTAGAACGAGAATGAATGACTAAGGAATGGGAGTGATACAAATATGCAACCCTAGAAATGTGTACCCCATATGGGCTACCCCACTATAGCCTACACAATATTATAATTTGACACGAACCGCTCGCGGAGCTGGAGACGGGCAGCGCGGGTCCAAGGGATCAAAACATCAGGAACCTCACCCTTGGTGCGCAAGGGGAAGACCGTGGTGTAACGCGAGTAGTCGTCAACAACCAGCAGGAATTACCGCTCGCGGTCCTGCCCACTGACGCGGGCTGGGCCCCACATGTCCATGTGCAGGGTCTGTAGGGGAGCAGTCATCGGGGGAAACGAGGAGGAGTGAGGAGCGGCGCGCTGCCGCCCCTCGACACAGGGAAGACAGGGAGGAGCAGGCGTGGGTGGGAGGGGAGGGAGAACCCTGGGAAGACCAGAGACAAGGACACGGCGGTGCATGCTACGAAGGCGCTGCACCGAGGGGTGACCAAGACGGTGGTGCCAAAGGAGGGTCTGGTGCGACAAAGCGCGACACGAGTAGGGGGTGGCTGGCTGACCTGACGCAGACGCAGACGCACCGACCTGAGGGGACACAGTAGTCAGTGTGTACAGACTCGAGCCAGGCGCACGGGTAAACGTGGCCAGGTGCCGGCCCGTCCGGGAGCACATACAGTGGGTCACGTGCTGACCTCCAGGAGTGAACTGGTCAACCCACTAGTCCTGGAGGTCAGCACTACTCACCAAGTTCGTAGAGAACGAGGGGAGGTGAAGACCTGACACGGAGCCAGACGGGACCGCCGAACACGGCAGGACCGTGGAGGAGTGCGCAAGGACTGGACCCCCAGAGGGGTCTGCCAGGGAGACTGCAACCCGCCGACTGAGCGGCGTGAGGGTGGTGCTGTCGCGAAAGAAGGAGCGAGAAGCACCTGATTCAAGGTGTGAAGGTGTACAAGGCCTCAGCAGGCGCAGTACCAGAGAGAGCACACTCACCAGCACCTGGAGCAGAAGCCTCACCAGCACCTAGAGCAGGAGACACACCAGCACTTAGAGCAGCAGCCTCACCAGCACCTAGAGCAGGAGACGCACTAGCACCTAGAGCAGCAGCCTCACTAGCACCTAGAGCAGCAGGCTCTATACCTGGGTCAAGCGGTACGCACAGGTAACAGGCACGGTCATCACTAGTAGGCAATGCATACATGGCAGTGAGAATAGCATCGTAGTCAAGAGCAAAGATATCTACCCTCTGCCTAAGCAGCTCCAGCCAAGTGGGGAGCTCAACCTCGTCGCCAAACTCGGTACGCCAGGCGTCGCTCAGACGGGCGAAGCAGCGGGACTGTGTGTGACCAAGCGTCCCTCAAGCCTAACCAGCCCGATCACCTGTGCGAATGACGTACGGGCAGCGAACGGTACTCCAAGACCCTCTACTCTGAGCGTACCACTCATGAAGCTGCTGGGGCGTAAGTGTCTCGCGCGGACGCCGCTGCAGCTGCAGCTGGCCACTGGCAGACGCTCCCGACTGACCAGCTCCAAGCAGCAGCTACGACGGCTACCGCCACAACCCCAACTAGCGTACCACTCACGAAGCTGCTGGGGCGTGAGAGACTCGCGCTAACGTCGCTGGAGCTGCATCTGGCCACTGCCAGTAGTAGCCGTAGCAGTAGTAGCAGCACCAGCAGCAGTAGCAGCCCAGCAGCAGTAGCAGCCTATCAGCTGAAACAGAAATAGCAGCAGTAGCAGCGCGGGCAGGGCAGGCGCGGCAGGCAGGCAGGCCGGCAGGCAGGTAGGCAGGCAGGCTGGTAGACAGACAGGCACATGGCGCGGCAGCGTGCAAATAAGGCAGGTGCTCACCAGTGGCGGGAAGGGCAGGCGCTCACCGGGCGAGCAGGGCCGGCGCTCGGCGGGCGGCAGCCGGGTAGGCGCACGACGGCGGCGACGGCGAAGCCGCGACAGCTGCGGCAGAGCAGGGCCGCGTTAGCTGCTGGAGGGCGGGGCCGTGACAGCTGCTGGAGGCTTTGCGGCAGCTGCTGCAGGGCAGGGCCGCTACGGCGGCAGAATGCTACGCGGCAGCTGCTGCAGGGCGGGGCCGCGACCGTGGCAGGGCGCTCCGCGGCAGCTACAGCAGAAGCGACGGCGGTAGTCAGGCAGGGGCAGCGTCAGGGGGGGGGGGGGGGGGCGCAACAAGGAGGGACGGCACCCAGGGGGCGTCACGATAGGATGGGGGCGACGTCCAGGGGCCGCGACAGCGGTGTTGGGAACAAATAGTTGAAGCGCCTCTGTCGTGTCAGAACTCAAGACACAAGCGAAGCAGCTCAAATCGAAGCATCGCGAGTCAACCCTCGGAAGTTAACGTAACCGCTGGAGGTTACGAGAAAGTCAAAGGTCAGCGACCTTTGACCTGACGCAGCGCGACAGCAAGGACACACAACTGACTCGACATTGAGCAGTTGCCCGAGTCGCACTGTATCGAACCGCAACAGTAAAGTAGTCATAATGTCTCTTCATATTCTTATTCCTGTATCTCTTTGCTTTAATCAACTTACTTTGCCCTCACATACTAGCGCAAGGTGGTTCAAGGACTTTACTCAACGCTTCCGCTATTACATCACTTACTCAGACTTTAACTCTACAAAGATCCTAGGGCTTTTCAGCCCAACATGGTATGAGAGCAGTTAGAGTTAAAAGTTACTATTTTTTCAACACTCAATACATCAAGAAGACATGTCTGCTAGAAAGGAGAGGAGCTCCTCCAACGGCTCTCCCGGTACTACCCCTACTCCACCTCCTGCCTCTGGTCTACAGACAGAGGAAGGGACAACGACGAGACCAGCAGCTGGGTCTACGGAAACACCCGCAAACCAAGGCGCGGGCTTCGATCCAAGCATGATGGAGAAATTCTTCTCCTTCATGTCCTTCTACGAGCAGCACCAGCAAGGAGTACCTGCGCAATCAAACAACAGCAACAACAACAACAACGTGACACCCATGAGTCTCGATGGCTCATCCTACGCACGCGGGAATCAACATCAACAACCTACCTTCGCTCCGTACGAGCCCCAGCGCGGCTCTGTCAGCTTCATGCCGCAACCACAACCTGCACCGGGACAAGAGAGAGCGCTG